ATCCTACATGGTTTCATGTCCTGTCAACTAAAATAGTTGAACGACATATTGGATGGTTGTTTATATTTTCTGTTAATAGGAAGGATATGGATTTAATTAAAATATTTAAATCCTAGTTATATGTTGTGTTTTGGCAACGAATAGTTAACCGGCTCAACATTGTATTTGGAAGGAACTTATATATAATTGGAGTAGGGATTTAATTAAAACACTTAAATCCTAATTTTATGTCGTGTCATGGCAACGAATCAGTTGAGCGGCACTACATTGGTTTGGATGGGAATTTATATATATAAATTATGGTACCGCGATTTGAGCTTGAGTCTCATAGTCGAAGGTTAGGGTGCGTATATGCAGTAGGATGCGTAGCTAGCTATGTTGGTTGAGGTATACTCTGTTAGGCTTAGGTAGTCATACCCACTCAGGTGCGTATTGCATGTTACCTTCTATTCAGGTTGAGACCCTCAGCATAGTTAGTGAGAGTCCTATAGTGTGGATATATATTTATCTATTTACGGACTATATAGATATGGTTGAGACATCTAGGATGTATCTGCGTATCGGGTCTCTGTTTGGATTGTAGTTAGGATAGAACTTGTTCGTGGGCCTGACCCACTATTATTTTTCAGGTAACGGACGGTTCCAGGTCTTAGAGCTTGTTCGTGCTGAACAGAGACGTCTTCTCATTCTTCCGACGACGTAGGCGGTTCCTGTATGATTTAGCATTGGATTTTTTTTCGGTGGTTCATTTCTCAGTAATGATTTTATTAGGGGTCCACCAGATGGATTCCCGAGTTGTATTAGAAATTGAGAATTTGGATGTAACAGACTAGTTCTTATTTATAAGATTTATTCTGAAATTTTCAATAAAGGATTTTCATTTAGTTTCTTTCCAGCGAATTTTATTTACTCATGTTTATCTTAATTATGTTCTGTGTTCGATTATTGCTAATTGATTTGATATCCTCGGGTAATCGGGCGTGGGCCTGGCCAACCCGCATCCGGAAATCCGGGGGTATCACAAAGGCAGACTTCTTCGGAGGCTTCTTTTCTTCAGTCTTTTCTAGTTCTCATATTTCTGTAATATTTTCTGTTCTATTCTCTGCTTGTAATACACTTCTAGAATGCTGTATTCAACAGACTTCTACCAGTAACTGTTATCAGTATTGTAAGTTAAATTCTGTTGTACAATTTAATTTCAGTTATTTGATTATTTATATATTCAGTTATTTGATTATTTATATAATATACATTGGAAGGTTATACACCTCTTCTATAATATATATAATTTATTTGTTTTCAGTTATTTGATTATTTAAGTTAATGATTTGATTATTTAAGTTAATGTGCGCTTCCCTTTTGGTATCAGAGCCATTTATTTGTGGTTGATATAGTTAACACTATTCGTTATACTTCATTCTTGTTAATCTTGTTCTGTTGATTCGGTTTAAACATTCTGTTATCTAATTCTTATCATATTGTTATTAATTTCCTTCATGTGAGTCCAGATCCAAACAATAAGTCCTAGATCCAAACAGTAAGTCCCAGAAGAGGGCCTGAGCGGTACGGCATGAGCGGATGAGCGCATGGATATGATATAAATATCAATTTGAAAAGATCATGACCATAGTTTGTTTTGACCAGCCAACTAAATAGGAATAGTAAGCGTTAAGTAACAATGAATAGGTTATTTAGATCTTCCTCTTCAATGAGCTCTAGTTCCAGATCTAGTTTACCCCCTCCAATACCAAACATAGTTAACGAAGAAGAATATTGCATTGAAGACAGTAACTTAGATTTTCGTGATTGGAATATCCCCAGAATTCCAAATCGAGAAATTTACAAAACTAGTTTCCTTGAGTCAACCTTTCTTAGTGATTACACAATTAAAACAGTTGAACAAATTTACTCTTTGTCAAAAGAACATGAAAAATGCCAATTACTCACAGCCAAAGCAATGCAAAGACATAGAGCTAGAGGATACAATTTCATCCATCTAGCTCTCATACAAGTTGCAATCAAACCATTCACCAACAGAGGACTTAACGCATCTGTCTTACTAGCCCTTCGTGATGCTAGGTTCCTGGATTATGACCTTAGCCTCTTAAGAGTCGTTGAAACGGGCCTCTGTAATGGCCCAATTCATTTCAATTGTTATCCAGATTTGACTCTTAGTTTAAGTGACCCTTACTTATTAAAGGCTTTAACTCTTAACGTCCAAACATCATGTTACCTTATGCTTCTTGGGTCCCAACCTTTAGGTCTAATTTACAGAATTTATTACAAAGCAATCAAAACTAATCTCAATGCCAAAGCAGTCAAAAAAGACATCAAAGGTCATACCATGTTGATTGAAAGCAGTACTGCTGATGCTAATATCCAAATCAAGAAAACAATTGCCTGGAAAGACATTTCGTTACCCAATGAATGGATTCTCCAGAATGAAAATCATCCGGTAAAAATAAAAAATGATATAAGTAATCTTGAAAGAGTCCAGGAATTTATGGATGGCACCGTCAGGATAAGTTTTGATGAACAACGTCTTCTGACTCGCTCTCATCCTTCTACTTCATTTGATAGATCAGATAGTGGTCTGTTAGATAAAAAAAGTGAAGTTCCTCCTCTAAAAAGAAAAAATTCACGATTTGATCCAAGGATGAAAGATCTTAAGTTAAAAGGTCTAAAAATAGAAGAACAAGTTAACCGACCATGTTATGTTCCAAACCCAAAATCTAAATCCACACCAAGTTCTCCTACTCCTTCTGATTTCATTGGCAACCTTAACACCATTAACCCACAATTAAATACGATTAATAAACCTTTTAAGTATAACCAGGGACGGAGCCAATTAAGGACCAAAAAGGGCACGTGCCCCCCCTGGATTTTCTCCCTCTCTTATATTCTATATATATTTTATAATAATATATATGTTTTTTAATGAAAATATGGAAAGTGCCCCCCTGAATTGTCTCATTCTTCGTAGAATTCTATATATGTTTCATATTTTTTTATCCTAAATTATTTCCTTAATCCTTATATTCTATATCTATAAATTAATTTCATTCCAAAAATATCATTATCACTTTCTATATATATATATATATATATATATATATATATATATATATATATATACTCATAAATATTGACTTATATACATGTACAATATATTATAAATATATGGTATGGTATACAGTATTATACTGTGCCCCTCCTGAAATTTTTTTCTGACTCCGTCCCTGAGTATAACCTCTCCAGATTACATGATGAATACTTATTTGTTCCCAATAAAGCAAAAAGAAACGATTTTAGGAAAACTCATACTAAAAAGGAACAAAATAAGATTCTTCACTATTGGCAGCAGTTCATGATCGAACACAAGGTCGAAATTAATTTCTTTGACTATCTTGAGAACTATCATAACAAAGTTAATGTTCTAACAAAAGTTAATTGGAAAAAACTAGACACCACAACTGTCTCCTCTTCCCATCCCCCATTAAAATCTGTGATTCTTGATCACATGGGGACTGAAGTTACTGCTTCCCCCTTAAAAGTCAGCACCACTACTGATCCAGATGCCAGAAAAATAATTAAACAAACAATTTCCCAAATCAATACCTGCATACTATTGGAATACAACTTGACAAAATCGAACTTTCCTTGTCACCACCTATTGCCCCAACAGCACAACTTTCCTCTCTTCCTATGGAAAAACCCCTTATTTCAATACCAACTCACCGAAAAGTTTTCCTCCAGCATTGTCCGACCCCTCTACTATTCTACAAATTGAAACAATTCTCAAAACACTTGAGAAAGGAAAGGCTAAAATTAAAGATGAAAAAACAATCACTGTAATCAACACTAATGATGATTCTGACACTTCCTCCTCCTATTCCAGTTATCCTTCCGAAATCCACCAAATTGAACATGCTTTCTCCAATCTAGAACTTAATCGTATTATCAATAAACGAGTCAACCCTACCAGCCTCACCAAAAATTGGTACCCTAGACCCACTCCTCTAGACATTCAATATGAAGAACGCAACATCCACAATCAATTCTCCGTCTCCTCTGATAAACTCTATGAATAGAATATAGATGGTTTATCTGAGCTGAAAATTCTGAACAAGTTAAATCATATATCAATGGTAGCTAACAATTATGTCACTTCCTATGATCTTAGTCAACCAGATATTGTTGATTTACTTACCTCTGGATTTTCCAGCATGCTAAAGTCTTGGTGGGAAAACCATCTTACTGAAAACTCACGCACCAACATCAAAAATGTTGTCCAAAAAGATAATAATGGACTTCCTATTTTTGATGAGACCATAGGTCATGGAATCACTGATGGAGTCAATACACTTATTTATACAATAGTTAAACACTTTATAGGAACTCCGAGTAACATCACTGCTCGAATACATGACCAGCTTACCAATCTCTCTTGTCCTACCATGAGTGATTTCCGCTGGTATAAAGATGTATTCTTATCCAGAGTTATGCTCAGAGATGATAGTAATAAACCATTTTGGAAAGAAAAATTAATTAATGGTTTACCCAATCTTTTTGCCCATAAAATTCGAGAAACACTTGGTAAAGCTACAGGTGTCATTGACCATGACAACCTCACATATGACAATATCAATAGCTTAACCCAAAAGGTATATATATATATTTTTTCCTGGGTATATAGGTTATTTTAATGCAAAAGTAAGAGTTAAAATGTCTTTGCAAATATTGTAAGGGCAAATGTGATATTACATGGTTAAAAATAAATGATGTCATCAAAAATCATCATTGACCAACGTTAACTTTCAGTAAAGGGGTCTAAGTGTTACGACGGAGCAAACCTCGAGGGAGGACGGTGTAATTTTTGCTGTTAATACTTCAGTAATTTAGCCTGCCTCTCATCTCTTGGGCCTGGGCCCACCTTATTTGATTAAATTGTTCGCATGCTTTCTGTCGGCCCAATTTTAAAAACCCACCGACTAATCAATCCAATTGGCCCGATCATAACTGGGTACGTTGTTTTACTTTTCCCTTCCCACTTCTTCGGTTCCCAAACTGTGCACTCTCTCAATTACTCACCCAATCACCACAACCCCATCACTCTCCAAATCAGCCTGAATCATACAAACGTGGTTCAGGGTCGGTCGCTTTAATTATTGAAGATCGAACCCAGCTAGCTAAACTTCGCACTCACGATGGTTCGGAAACGATTCCAAGAAGCCAAAACAGGTATTACTCTCCAAACTCTTCATAGCAATGAAATTAGGATGTCCTCATCGTCAACATTGTTGAAGACTGTGTTGGGAGGTATGAAAAGTTGGAAAATAGATCACATGATCTTTAATTGAGCTTCGAATCAATGTGGGTATAAGCATAATTGTTTGTACTTATAGCAATGTCATGGTTTCAATCTCATCACATCACATTGACTAAGATATACTGAATTCTAGTTTTTTCTTGACCCCTGGGCATTGAGATTCTTTATTAGGTGTTTGTTTGGGTGGTCAAGTGTTGATTGAAGAAGCCAATGTGCTCTTTGATCGTGTAAAACGGGCGGGTCTTTGCATTCCCAATCATTGTTATAGCTATGACTGTCTGTTGGAGGCTATCTCTAAGTCTGGTTCAGTTGATTTTGAGTTGATTCAGAAGATGGAAGATCTCAATATTAAGTTGTACCAAAAGAAATTGTGTTTTAGTACACGGGTTTGTGAGGGAAGCCCTCCAGTTGTTTGATAAAATGCAGAAGTCCAGCCATGCCATTTTATGACATGCTGATTGGAGGGTTCTGCAAGAACAAAGAGCTTGAAAAAGCTTTATTTTTGTAAATTTTTTATAACCCACGATTTTGAATCTGAATGATGTTCAATATTTGAATCCAGCCTCGTAATTCTTCAATTTAGACGCAATCGCATTTTATAGAGATTCGCCTTTACACTGTTCGACGAAAAGACTGAACCACACACACTGACACAAACATATACTATATATGCTCCAAGTTATGTGAGTATAAATGTCTTTTGCAGGGCTTGAATTGGTTAAATCTTTCAATTACGATAAGTACCTGAGGAAGATAGGGTTTGGAAAAGAAGATTACCACTTCTGGAAACAAGTAGGCAAGGGATTGCTATGCACATACGCGCTGTTTGGCGCTGCCTGGCTGTACAATGAAACCTCACCACTTGGTTGGTGGACACTGAAGCCAAGACCCAAGGAAGAGAAAGAGTTGGCTCACCTCTATGAACGACGGCAGTTTCCTTATCCTGGCGACGAGGAGGCGATGAAGGAGTTCATTGAGAAAGGTGGAATGATCGGCACTACTATAGGACCAAAAGGGATCATTGAATCCGATAAAGACTCCTACAATTATCAGAAGAAGTTGCAGGACAAGAAGTTCGAACAAGAATCTTTCAAGATGTGGATGAGGATGAGGAATGAAGTTGTTTCAGAGCTCCAAGAGAAAGGGTTTGATGTTGAGTGATGGTTACAGTGATTTCTTTTATAAGGTGAAGCATTTGATGATTGTTGTGCCATGTTTTCAGTCTTCAGAGGTGTATATCAGCTTTGAGCCTTTTGTTTGATCCAATGTGTGGACTGTGGACTCACATTTGGGTGGAATATGTTGATGGATATGAAACATGTGTATTTTGGTTTGTATGTTTTTAAGGATGTGGTTCCAAGTGCATCAATGATTCATGTAATCAAATTAGATAAATTTGAACCGTACTTGCATTTATCTTCTTACATCGATTGGTTTACGTAAAATACTAACCAAACAATGGGTTCCTCAATCATAACATCAATCTGTAAAAAAAAAAATAATCATCAATGTTTACCACATTATTTACTTATTAAAATTAATTACATACCAAAGGCATTTAGCCCAATGTTATAATTTCCTATCTTCAAAGAAGAAGGGAGGGTTTTGATCTGGGAGCGTGAAAAAAAAAAAATTGTGTTTGTTGTTAAGATTTAAAAATTAATAATAATAGTTAATTAATAATTAATCACTGACAAGCAAGAACTGAGGAGGATTCTGTTTGGTGAGTGGGCCTTTGTTTTTCCACGGCTGTGTATAGTGTTTGATGATTTTAATAAGGAAAAATTATATTTTGGTAACCAAAATTAAACATAATTGTTATATAGTGACCTTAAAGTCAATAAAAGGTGAATAATGACCAATTTTGAAACTTAATTGATATTAAGTGACCATTTGATGATTTATTACCTAAATAGCCTTCTTATAATATATTATTATGTAAGTAGATAAATTTACCCTCTACATTAACATAAATAAACACTTACTTAAATTGACTAACAAAAAGATAACAGATTATTAGGGTGAGTCTCTGAAGAGAAGATCAAGATGGAAGAGAACTGATGATGGATATTATACATCATTTTCTTCAAGATTCTAAGAGACATGACGAGAAAATTGTAAATTTTCTTCTTATTCATTATTTTCAAGGTATAATTATTATACTTTACGAGTTGATTTGTCTGAAAGATCTACCTTAAGATATAAGATTGTAATTTTTAGGAATTTTTAATACTACTTAGTTATAGTTCAAGAAATAATGACTATTGTTGATTAATTTCATAATTTTACTAACTGTTAAAAGGTGTTTCAAAAGTATGATTTGCCATTGTAAATGTTATGAGCATTCATGTTGAAGGGCCTTGAAAAATAAATAAATAATGGAAAAGAGATAATGTTAATAAAGAAATTTTAATTTTTTAAATTGGTAAATTGTAAACTAAAAAGGAAAATATTAGATGGTTGAAAGCCTTGAAAAATAGATAAAGGGTGAAAAAAAGATAATGTTGGTAAAGAAATCTTAATTTTTTAAATTGGTAAATTATAAACTAAAAAGGAAAAAAAGAAAACGTTGGATTAGAGAGAGAGAGAGAGTAGGAGGAGGATGAATTTAATGACTTATTATTTATATTGGATGGCAATTTTGTCATCTAAAGTTTATTTTTAAAATGTTTATTAAACTTTTAAGTGTTTTTGACCAAATTATCCTTAAGTGGTCACTTAATATCAATTAAGTTTCAAGATTGGTCACTATTCACCTTTTCTTGACTTTAAGGTCACTATATAGTAATTATGTTTAATTTTGGTTACCAAAATATAATTTTTCCTTTTAATAATGTATAAAGTTTTAGTAATGTATATAGTAGAGAACTTTTTAAAGAAACGTAAATGTTAGCGGTGATTGTAGTACAATCGTAGCCCCAACTAGTAAAAGTTTTAGTAATGCTTAGCGGTGATTATAGTACAATTGTAGCCCCAACTAGTTAAAGTTTTAGAGTAGAGAAGTGAGAGAGTAAGCCAAAGTGAAGGCGACTGTTACACTAAACAAGTGGCACGGGTAGATGAGTTTATGAACCTTAAGGGTGAAAATCACCTCCAATGAAATAGTATATCATTTACTCCATTTTAAAATGAATTGTCCAGAAATGGCCACGTCATCCATGTTTGAGATGCATAGTAAGAAAATATTAGAATACTTAGTAGGAAAATGTTGGAATGCTCCTTACGAAAATATTGGATGCACTTTTACTTACAAAAATTGAGGAAACAGATTACTGACAACTGGAGATGATCCTTGTCCGAATGTGCAATCCAAGTGAGGAGGAGTACACCAGAACAGTAACAAGCGACACGAAAGGTGTGTTGATGTTGTATCTCCTGCGGCATTGATGAGGCTTACCGCTTACACCAATATGAGTAGGGGTGGAGTCAGAAATTTGGTTCAGGAGCACGTTAATATTAACAAAAAAAAAAAAAAAAAAAATTCCAAATAGGCCGAAAATATATATAACTTAACAACAGTGTATTAGCATAAGTGAATAAAAAATGAATAAGAAGAGGAAAAAAAAAATATAGTGACAAAGGTTATTGAACATAAATTATGCATAAGTGCAAGAAAGAAAAAAGAATTTTTTAAGAAGAAAATGAAATAAAATATATATATATATATATATGAGAGAATTTTAAAGGAAAAAATATGTTTTAATTGTAGAAAGAGAATGCAAAAGTTTTTTAAGATGACAAAAAGAAATTTGAAGAATAAGAAGGAAAAGGAATAAAGAATTAAAAACGTTTTTAGAAATAGATAATTTTATTGGAGATAATTTATAAATTTTATAAGGATGTTTTATAAATATTTACAAATTATATGCATAAAATAAAATAAAATTTAGTTGATTCAGGGGCAAAGGAGCCATTTTATTAATTTTAGGTGGGCATTTTATCAATTTTTACAAATTTATATTAAAAAAAATAAATTCAATAATCTAGTGAGCGAGCATAGGGCGGGCCGCAGGAGGCAAATGCCCCTTAAGCACATGCTGGCTCCGTCCCTAAATATGAGTTGGAGAAGGGATTACTGGAATTAGGTGTTTTGTTACATAGCAGTTAGCACATATTATTGTTAAATGTTAATATATAGGGCAAATTTCAGTAAATTCCTAATATTTTAAAAAAGTGATCATAAAACCCCAACCAGTTTTAAAAACCCCCAATAATATAATAACATTATCATTTTACCCCAATTCTGTTCATTGGGATCGTTAACCCAGTGCTTCGACAAATTGACAATTCTGTCCATTGGGATTGCTTCGACAAATTGACAATTCTGTCCATTGGGATCGTTAACCCAGCGCGTGGTTAACAATTGCTTCGACAAATTGACTTTTGTGACAAAAATACCCCTGCTGTCACATGTGCCAAACAAGTGATGTGCATTTAAATATGTTATACCGAAAATACCCCCAAGCTTGTAATAGTAACCTTGTCCTCTTCTCCGTCTCTAACCAGACCCCTGCCGTCCTCCTCCGCACCCCCTCCTCCTTCTCCCGTTCCTCCACCACCAACCCCCCCCCGCCGCGAGTCCCCTCTCCCTCCCTTCCCTCCGCCATCCACCACCACCACCACCTCCTCTCTTCTCTCCGTCGCCGTCCCTGTCCCTGTCCCCCACTATCTATAGCTCTAAACTCCCTCACATCCTCTCCGCCTCTAATCTCCCGACCTCTCGCCGCCGGAAACCAATGAAACTCCCTCACATTCTCTCCGAATCGAGCCTTTCATCTCCACATAGCCACAACCCCTACAGATCGAATAATTATACAGAAAACTTTACATACAATGCAAATTCAGCATTCTCTGCCACTCCTTCTCAAGCCTCATCTGTCTGGAACTGGGAAGAATTATACCCTCCGTTACCACCCGATTCCGAGTTCTTCCAACAATGGAACAACATTGACAACAACAAGGCCTCGAACTACAGCTACCAAAATCAACCCAATCACCTACAATGTCCTCCGATCTCTCTCTCCCTGTAACTTCTTCTTCTTAGGGCTCGGCCTGGACTCCCTCATGTGGGCCTCACTCAACCCCGGTGGAACCACTCTCTTCCTCGAAGAAGACCTGAAATGGTTCAAGACGGTGACCCAAAAATCCTTGTACCTAAAAGCCCACGCCGTCAAGTACAGGACCAGGCTCGACGAGGCCGACAATCTGCTCCGATTCTACAAGTCGGAGCCGAAGTGCTCACCGGCGAAGTCGTACATAAAAGGGAACGACCAGTGCAAGTTAGCGCTGACCGGACTGCCCAGCAAGGTGTACGACAAGAGTGGGACTTGATTATGATCGACGCGCCGAAATGGTACTTCGCGGCGGCACCGAGGAGGATGGCGGCAATCTACTCGGCGGCGGTGATAGCGAGGAACAGGAAGCGATCGGGTGTGACGCATATGTGTTCCTACACGACGTTGACCAGTGGGTGGAGAAAGCCTTCGCAGAGGAGTTCCTGTGCAGGAAGAATTTGGTGAAGGGTGTGGGGAGGATATGGCACTTCGAGCTGCCTTCCGCCGCTAACGTGAGCTGGGCGAGTGCTGGGTCCCGGTTCTGCTAAATTGAGCTATGGGGTGTATTGTTGTAGTAGGCTGCGCTACACTTTGGGTGGAGGATATTATTTTTAATCTTTTCTTGATTTTGTGGTAAAGGATAATATTGTAATTTCAAAAATATGATTTTTTTATTTTTTAAATAAAAGGGAATATAATAAGGATAATTTAGTCATTTCACATACTCTTAACTCCCAATTGACAGAGTTGGGATAAAATGATAACGTTATTATATTATTGGAGAAGTTTTTAAAACTGGTTGGGGTTTTATAATCACTTTTTTAAAGTATTGGAGGTTTATTGAAATTTGCCCTAATATATATATAACATCTTGTGGCGCACGGTTGTGACTAGATCACGGGATGGTGAAACTCTAAACATGTGACATTAGACATGTTTGTTTGTAGAAAAATCATAGCACACGTGTGGGTTGTGTTGATTTTTTGACCCATTTTGTCTTGAGGGGACTCACATTTTAGACTTATAAATAGATAGGATTGCAACAGTCTTATTTGATCTAAATTCGATAAGGCATTTCATTTATGAGTCTAATTAATTGAATATCTGACAACTTGAATTAATTGAAGATCCGATAACTTGAATTAATTGAATATCCGACAATTCGATCTATTAGGAGTCTAACTTTTTCTTAAGAAAAAAGAAATTAATGTTAAAAGAGAATGGAAAATAATGATTAGAATAAAAAGGAAAGAAAACAGAACACAAATAAAATATGAAAGAAAATTAGAATTTTTAATAAATAAATAAATAAAAGCACTTATTGTGTTTGGGAGCATCGAATCAGCGTTTTAGATTTGAAATTGAAAGAA